AGACAAGGCATCTCCCAGCAATCCACATATGCCACAGCTCTTTTCAGTGAATTCCAACCCCAACCTGACACTGACTTCCTCATCAGCCTTGGACAAATCAGGTGAGTGGTTCTTATTTATCCACCTGGTGTGGGATTGTAAAGGGAAAATGAATGCTTACTGAGTGCTCAGTCACAGAAGTGTGCACTTGTGTTCCATACACTTTTACTGGTCCTAGTCCTACCATTCTGTCCCTAAGTCCAAATGGTGACATTTTCATTATGAATATAAAGGCAGGAATGAAGTCAGGGCATATGGCACTCCATAGTTGAACAGTGTTTATAGAATTGCATTTCACAGCCAGCATGTGACAAGCACACTTGCCAAAACCTGGCTAACTCATATATTCACCTCTAAAGAATCTTCATGACCTTGCCATATACAGTCTTATACTGGAAAGGATTTGAAACTTCTAATTATTCGCTTAAGTAAGCTTAAACTTGAAAATAAATGTCCATGGCCCCCAGCTGTTTCTGAAAAAAACAAACCAAAACACAACACAATCTTCAGAAATATTTCATAGAATAAAAAAGCACGGAGATTGCAAGCAGTTTATTTGCATGATCATTTGTTTTAAATTCAGCTAAGATAAATAATTTTTAAAGTTTTCTCTTTTATAATGAATGTGACATTCTTTAAAAACTTCTTTTTCTTTTTAATTTATGCATCATAATACCGGGTCATCTAATTTTTCCTCAGTGCAACTATCAGTACTGCACTTACTCAAAGTTCACCAGTAACAAATGCTTGTCTGTTACCCTGGAAATGTGGATTCCATAAAAAAAAAAAGGGGGGAGGGGGAAGGTTGTGAATATTAGCAGCAACTTGAGAAATAAATTGCATTTGCTGTTGTCTACAAAGTTTTCCTAGAAGCTTCAAAGATTCACTCACACAGTTCACTGTTTGTAATGTTTCAGAATTTGCCACAGAAATTAAATTTGAATACTTTGACTTCTAGAGCCTGAATTCTGCTGCCCTCACTAGCAGACACTTTTTTCTTTAGCTACCACCAGGAATTTCTCTGCCCAGTGCCTCCTCAACAGCACTGCAGGATGCCTCATGGACTGTGTATATGACGCCCACTTCGTTGTCTCCAGAGCAGTCCTACCAAATGCATGTAAATCCATACTGACCTACTTACCTGTCCACTATTTCTAAGCTAGGCTGGGAAATGTGCCAGTTTGGTGAGGTTCTGAATTCATATTTCACATATTCTGATGATAAGGCAGCAATTACTGTTACTAATATCTCACTATTCAAACAAGAATCTATTTTAAAGTAGAGCAACTCAGTCACAGCTTCAGGCTCACTTCAAACTCAGGCTGACACCACCGCATAAACAAAATATGCCTCATCTTTCAAAGACTTCTTTGGAACTCTAATAACAAACAAACCAAACCAAACCAAACCAATCTGAAAATCAGTAGAATAACTGTTCCCTTATATCAGGTTTTTTTTTTACTTCCCATCCTTTAGGAAACAATGCTTTTGAAAGCCATAAAATGAAGGTTATTCATCACTGAAATGTCATGTCATCACATTTTCAAAAGCCTCCCACAGAAAGACAATGAAAGATGTCAGAGTAAAGTCTTTGCTTAATGCAATTAGCATTCAAATATTTTAATCAATAAAATATGACAATTAGACTGGGCTAGAAGCCAACTCCCTGAGAGCCACACCTTTTTCACACATATTCTTATTTGCACTGCTGTGTTACTGAACAGTAGTAAACATATCAAAACAGTAAATATCCATGACACAATTTGGGAGCTGCATCAACTTAAAATCTTTACCTTCTATGGCAGCAAAAGGAGCAACCAAAAATCAACAGCAAGTAATGATTTCCAGGAGACTGGGCTGGTTATGATATATTTAAGATCCATGTGACCCATTTAGCCAGTAGAAAATGGTAAATGAGAGTTCTATGTGTTTTCATGTGACCTGAAACAGTTAACAATACTGATATTGAATCATCAGCACAGTGATGACACAGAAAACAAACCCTCCTCAACATTTGTTTTCCCAATGGCGCTTGGCAGACGAGCACACAACAAGTGCATTTGCTGAAGTGCTGATGCCTAATGAGTCACTAACATTGCTAAGTTCAGTTTGCATCTTTTAGTGCAAAGAGAGAGACAGAAAGGGAGTAGTTTTGAGAAGTTTTCTATTAGAAAGCCAGTCTGAAAATGGCTGCCTAATTAGACAGTTATTTGGTCATTGAGTCACCAGTGCCTGAAAAATCTACTTGCTGTTTATCACAAATATTTACCACAAACGGCATCAAGGCAAAAAATCAAATGTCAGTAGTGTCTTCCTGAACCATGTAACAAAGTAACATTTTACTAGAAATACCCACATAGAGAATACTTCACCCATCTCTTTCTTCAGTTGCTTGGCAAGATTTCAGATTCTTCCAGGTTCCTTGAACACAGCTTTTTCTGTTGCCCTTAAGTACAAGAAGTAAGCACTCCCTGTCAACAGAGAACTTGCATTTTCTGCATTAGCCAGACACGATGAACACACATTCTGCAAGTGAACTATGGCCCCTCCCATAAAAGTTGATCAAAAAACAGTTCCTAATGAATTTCAGATGACAACTTTGTCCATAAAAGCACACATCTGGGAGGAAGACAAGCAGTTCAAAACCAATTGGTCTTCATATGAGGCACAGCTATAATCCCCACGAAAAGAAACACTGGGGTCTGTTATTTGTAAGGATTGCCATCAGGCCTTCTCATACTGTCCAACCAGTTCTGTTGATTAGGAGAGCAAAAATACTTTAGCTTAATAGCAAACCTCAGCTGTGATGCAGCAATGTTTTCATTTTCTCACGATATTCAGAGAGAGTTTTCCTGTCACCACTATTCCCTTTTGCACCTGGTCACATTTATTTTCTAAACCAGCGATCTAGTGAGAAACTCATAAGCAAAGGAGGTACGTTCATGTTCCCATGCTGAACCAGTGCTCACTGAATAGACAGTTCTATTAAGCAACTGGTAGGTCAGTGCCTAAAACCACTTGGATTCTTCAACAGCCAAAGCAAATGACAGGAAAAGGCACACCTTTAGGCTGAATATGCTTACACGAAATCAGCAAGCCTAGTTCCAATCCAAGAAAAGCAATGATTTGTCAAGGGGAATTCTAAAGCCTTTGTAGCTCCAGAATTTTATTCACAGCATAGGAGCCCTATCATAAACTAAACTTTTTCATTATAGATGTAAACAGCTTGTGCTCTTGGTTATCATCCTTCAATGAATAGTTAATCTCTCACGCTGGGGAACCTTGTGCATCTATGGAACTTAGAGCTTCTTATTAGGAAAATAAAGCAACATGGTTCATTGCACTGCTTTGAACAGCCGTGTTTCAACTTTTGCATATAGCTTTAATGACCACTGATAATACAAAGGCACCAGCCATTCTTGCCTAGGACTGTGGGGAGACTGGCAGAGGGTCATGGCCTGAGCATCTCCAAGTGGAGCAGAACTGGAAGACTTGTACAATCTGAGGCACTGCAGAGAGATGGGCTGATGATAGGAGTGATGCCAGAACAAGCAGGTGCAACAGACTTACCATTTGAAACCTGCATATCTCTTATTTTGCCAAAAAAAAAAAAAAAAACCAAAAAAAAAAAAAAAGGAAGATTTTGGTGCAAGTCTGTGCCATTTTCAAGAAAAACAATGCTAAGTGGTCATGATGTCCTTGTACAGAAAAACAAAGTCTTTCTGGTTATTACTCTGTTGATGAAGGAACAGAATGAGCCAAAGAGGGGAAAAAACACCACCACATTTCTACAAGAAAACAATTAAAACAGTCTTAATGCTTTGGAACAGTATTATCAAATAATCATTCTTGGATGGCCCTTTCTCCAGCTTCTGCAGCAGGAAGAGCAGGGTTAAAAAAATAAAACAACATGGGAATGAATGGGACAATATCCTGACACAACAAGGACCCTTCAACAGTTCCTGTTTAATTTTCAGCTGATTGGCTTCTCCAGTCACAGTACATTATGTAGCTAATCTGTTCTCTTCATATTCTGCACCAAAATGTTGCTTACACTTAGCTCAGTAATAGTTCTGGCCAATGAACACACAAAGGAACAGCAAAGACAGTATATATTACGAATTCAGCAGTACCGAGGAAAATTCTAATCCTACTAAATTTGGCAGCACAAATCTCTTATGTAACCTGTGATTTAGAGGACAGGCTGATCACCCGGGAATATTACCGTGCTCTTCTCAGTACATTAAACAAAATTGGCAATTTTTCATTACAAATTTTGTTTTTTCACTGTGTAATGTCTCAGGAAAGACATCCCATGCTTACAAAACATTTTTAGCATCCACAATATGTTTTTATATATGACAATTCAATTAAATGGAGGGCGTATATAAGTTTAATAGCTACCCTTAAGTGCTTCTCTGCCAAGGCTACCTTGAACTGTGGTACATCTCTGAGGTTCACGAGATGGATGGCTTGTGTTCTAAATTTAAAGCAGTGAGACTTCAAAATAATGCTTGGAAAATGAGCTTTTCTGAAAGTTGAGTCTTATATCAGCAAAATTTACAGATCTCTGGAACTGATACTCTCATGAAGCTGAGGAGCTTTGAGAGCTACAGATGAAAGATCCTGAGCATGTAGAAAACACTAGAAAAACAGAAGTTTGTATCCACCATTAAAAAAACCCCACCAAATCAAAACCTGTCCTTTTACAACAAAAATAGATTCTAACATGCAAAAGCAGCTGTCCAGTAATAGGATACAAATGTAAAAAAGCTCAATTCACAAAATAATTATGAACCAAGCATCACATTATTTAAATTTCTGTTGTTCTTCAATCTTCAATATCTCCTTCAAAAGGAGGAATTAATTCAATGCCAATATTTATAGAATGCAATAAACACTCAACTCATGCCAATTCATTCAAGACGATGTCCTGCTTTTGAAATACAGATACAGGCCAGTTTTAGGAAAAGAAGTTTTATTCACAGAATAGCAAAAATCAATAAATCCTATAGCACATATCCATAAAGGGTGAAGAATTCAGGGATTATTGGAGAACCTGACACCTGAAATTGTCACACACACTGCTGACAAGATTTGCTGTGAAACTTGAAGCCAATTACAGACATTTTCTTCTCACCCATATAAAGGATGTGTCATAGAGATATACACCAATATGGGAATTCCTTGATGTGTTTGGAAACAAGTGGCCAGCACCAAGTTACCACCAGCTAGCTAATCCATGTACCTCCATGCAGTTGTTACAGTAGGAGAAGCTTTTGCAATAAAAAGCAGCAGCATTCCTCTCTTCTTTGGGGAGGCCCAGCTCATTCCACTATCCTGACAATGCTTCTCAGCAAATACAAAACGCCAAAAATAGTTACCGCTTTAGCAACTGCAGGAAGCCAACACATTTGAACGAGAAACTTTGGTGATAAATGCTCAAAAATTGATAGATAAGGATGCCAGGAAATGTCAGATAATCCCCTTTAGAGGGCTATTCGCAGCACAACTACTGCATGGCAGGAAGGCAACAGCAAAGAGGATACCTATAAGCCCAGTGTTCTTCATTTTGCCCCACAGAAAGAATAGCAATTTTTTCAGTTTCCATTAGTCATGTAGTTTCCTCTGTAATAATATGAGAACAAAAGGAAATCCAAACCAGAATCTGTTCATAGAGAAATTCCTATGAATTGATAGTTTTTCTGTTACAGTTGAAAGACATTTGCAGAAGCATGAAATTGCCAAGAGGAGGTTACAGGGGAGTAAACACTTAAATAGGTCTAGTAAAAACTTCACCATGCATTAAGAATTAATAATTCTTTGCCCTAAATTAATAATTAATTAAAAAATTACCATGAATTAAGAATGACTAATCCTTTTTCTTAAAATACATGCAAAGGGAGTGATCATTATGCTCCATAACATAAACTGCTTTCATATGTAGAAACTAAGCAAAAGACAAAACAACTGCAGAGCCACAGTCAGCCTCTCATGCTCAGAGACTGACCCCTTGTATCAAACCAGAGCTGAAAAGCAGGCAGCCTGCTTCAATCCTTTAAATTTGACACATATCTAAGCAATTACAGCATAGAAATCAAACCAAGTATTTAAAAGACAGACTAACTTAGAAAACGATGAGACTGAGATATTTAGAAATTGATGCTCATTATTTTATTACCTTGGGCCACCTGATACCATATGTAAAGTCTCAGTCCTAATGCCTGCGCTGGTTTTGGATGGGGTGGAGATCGTTTCAACCACTTTTAGTGGGTGTTCTGGATTCTGGATTTCTCTGTGTTCTGGATTTGTGCTGAACATAGAGTTGATAATACAGAGATGTTTTTGTTATTGCTGAGCAGGGCTTACACAGAGCCAAGGCCTTTTCTGCCTTTTGCACTGCCACAATGGGAAGCAAGTTGGGGCTGTCTGGGAGACTGGGAGGAGACACAGCCAGAAGAGGTGACCCCAGCTGACCAAAAGGATATTCCAGACCATATGACACCGTGCTCAGTGTATAAAGTGGGAGGAAAAGGAGGAAGGGGGGACATTCTGAGTGATCAGTTTGTCTTCCCAAGAAACCGTAACACGTGATGGGGCCCTGCTCTCCTCAAGATGGCTGAACACCTGCCTGCCCACAGGAACTAGTGAATTAATTCTGTGTTTTGTTTTCCCCATTAAACTGTCTTTATCCCACGTTTACAGGCTTTTACCCTTCCAATTCTCTCCCCAGTCCTGATGGTGGGGGAGTGAGGGAGCAGCTCTGTGGGGCTTGGTTGCTGGCGGGGCTAAACCACAACAATGCCAAAGAAAGAACTGGCAGGGCAACACACCAGATTTCACGAGCTTAACAATATGTGATTTAACCAACCATACTGTAGGCAGAAACAAAATACAAGAGGACAATTGAATTAAAATCTGAAGAGTAAGGTCATAATAGTTTGGGATGAGAATGATTATAAATACTTATAGGCCATACAACTAAACAAAGATACTTTAATGAGGAGATGCAAGTTCATATTTAATGTACAAACCATTACCATTACAAGCAGAAGACTTGTGATAGGGGGAAAAAAAAAGTATTCATCTCAAAGATCTGTGTTCTAATGGTAATCTAGTTTTAACCTATCCACTAGCATCTTCTCCATCCCTTTGAACTCTAACAGTTGCTGAAAGCAATTATCTTTAAATACCAGTTAATACTAATGCTAAAACAACAATAATCAAATATTATGTACATTTTAGGCAAGCAGTCTGTCTTTACCTCTCATTCCAAGTACTATCTTCCAGAAAGTATTATTCACAAATCATTTTAGAAAAAAGTTACTGTACAAAGACACAATCATAAAAAGACTAGTCAGTACAATTAGACAGAAGTTTGCTTGTAGTTCTTCGTATCCAAGACCTTCTTGCCACACATTGAGCAGATGCCTATAAGCACAAAAAAAGTGTGTAAATTATTTTGAAGTTATCAAAATAGTTTCTCAAAAACACAGTTACTATGTTTTTGTAAGCATCTTTTTCAAGAAATTGTTCAAATGAGCTCTTATTAGCAATCCATCTGTTCTCAGACACATTCTCAATAGATACTACAAACTTAGAAGTAATATTGTAACTCATAATACAAATTAATACGTTCAGCGTGTGTGAGATTCTTCCACTGAAGAAAATAAGCTCTATTTTGAGAGCATTATCATTCACAATAATGCTGGAAGCCTCTATAATTTGCTGGAATGCCTGAAGAGAGCCAGGAAAGGCTCACTTCTGACCAAAAGGTAAAAATGGTGTACTGTTAGTCCTTTTAAGTCATGTACACAAACAGGGCCTGAGATAGACAGACAGTAGCAGGACTAAGAAAATACAGTAACCAACAAACTGACTGCTAAATGGGGCATTCACAGGTGGGGTGCTTCAGAGAACGGAGGAAGTTTAGAACATGTTTTCATAGAATTAAGGTTTTTATAGAGCAGGAGTGAAAAGCAATGAACACCAAGAATACTTGAGAGTTGAAGTGATGAACACTGATGTCCCAAAGGACTTTGTCCTAAACTCTAAGAGTGTCAGGAGCACCAAAATGTACACAAGTTTGGCAGAGGGGAGGGTTGTCTCAATCTTTTCCTCTTCTTTCAAAGCAAAAAGGTGCTAAATCTCTTATCTGGTAGAACGCACCTCAATTTACACAAACATTCACCTGCAGACAAAAAATGTCAAGTGGCATCCACTCCTGCTTTCTCCAAATTGTGTGGTTTCATATACTGACATCATGAGCGGACACGTATCTAGCAGTTCATCAGGGAAGAGAACAGCAGGGAACATGGCACATTATTTACTCTAGAGACCAAAACTCAGCCCACTAAATATTGACTTCAGGTCTAAACTGAGGATTAATTAACTTGAGATTGCCTCTCAATTTCAGAGACATCCAAAAGCTGAAGCACTGAGCTGTATGACTGCATTTGCTTCAACAAGTATGCCCTAATGATATCTTTGATGGTCAGAGCTAGAACCTTAGAAAGTTCTTAATTTTATGACTCAGAGACATCCAAAAGCTGAAGCACTGAGCTGTATGACTGCATTTGCTTCAACAAGTATGCCCTAATCTTTGATGGTCAGAGCTAGAACCATAGAAAGTTCTTAATTTTATGAAGATAACAGGTTCAGCCTGGAAAGGTACACAAACAGACAAAGATCAAATCCTGAAGCTCACCCAAACCAGATATAAATCTAAGAAGGAGTACAAGGTTCTACTGAATGGGGTTCAGGCAGCTGTCTGGGGAGGACCTAGCAAGCAACATTCCTACAGCAAGCTGCTAAACCACGGACTCAGCGACACAGCACATATTTATTGAACAGTTAATGTCATAAACAACACTTACTAGTGGTTAGCTGTAGCTCTACACCTAAAAATCAGTTCATCTCATGTGCTGCAAGAACTCTTTGGCACTACATCATGTAACTGACTTCATTATGCTTTTTTCCATCCACCAGTTTTAGATTTAGCTATTATAAAAATGGGAGAGAAGGGACCAGAAAAGGAACTGCAACAAGCAACTGAGTTTTAGAAGACCTGGGGTTTTTTGGGATTTTGAGGACAATCAAACTTGTTAGATGACAGTTCTCTATGCAATTGCCAAGATTAAGTTTCCAAATGTACTGCTTCGGACACCACAAACATTCTATAAGAAGTAGAATTACAGAATGACAATGGTTTAAAAGAATCTCCTTCAGTCTCTAGTCCTGTCCCACTCAAAACAGCCAACTTGGATAAGGCTGGTTCAGGACTGTTCCAGCCATTCTCTGAATACCTGCTGTAAAGATTCCACAACCTCTGATGGTACCTGCTACTAGAGTATTTGATCACTCCCAAACTGAAAAATCGCTTTCCTTGCATGTAATTAGAATTTCCCATATTCTAACCTGTTATTTCTTTAATTATAATTATTTCTTATTCTATTACTGTGTACCAAAGAGTCTGACTCCATGTTCCCTGTGCCTGCCTATCAGTAGCTGAAGATAGCAATTAAATATCATCTTAACCTCCTTTTCATAAATACAAATTCAAGTGTTGTACCTCCTCTCTTGTTCCAAGCCAAACCGCAGTATTTTGGCACTCAGTGAAACTCACCTTTTTTATAGGCACATCCTTGACAGTAGTGGGACCCTGGCTGGTGGACAGAACTCTTACAAATGCGACATATTGCAAATTTGTTCTTTCCATAAGGATCAAACCTGGGAAAAAGGAAAAGTATTTTATTTATACTCATTGAAATTAAGTCTTTTTTCTGCCTCATCCTAAAAAGCCTAAGCCAGAGGGTGCAGTCAGAAACTCCAGCAGAAACTGTAACTTAGAAATGGGACATACAATAATTATTTCTAACAGGCTACACAAAGTATGCAGAAAAGCTGCCACTTTCCCCATTAAGAGATGTTTCTTCCATCACAGACAACAACTTCATGAAAGCAGAACTAAAAATGTTTATTTTTATTAAGATACTACATGACTTTGAACTTAAACACCTTCCAGCAGCATCTTGCCCCCCTGGAAACAGAAAGTCTTGCACACATGAAGGAAATGCTCAAGAGATTATCCTGGCAAGATTAGCATAGAAAATAAGTATTCTCAGCTTCTCTCCTACAAAAGCATCAAATCCTAGCAATTCCAGTGAGAACTGCAGTAAAATACTCTATAACTGAGCAGGAAGCACCCATGAAATATGTATGGACATATTTTTACCAACAAGTCAAATACCATAATCCCCGCAACTTTAATTTATTAAGTGTATTTTGGACAAGTCTGGAGTAGTTGCCCAGCTACGTAGGAAACAGGTGTCAGTTAACTTGCTAACTGATGCTCTTAGCCAAAATCAGTGTTAAGTACTAACCTTGCCTTCTTTGAGGTCAATGCCTTGTTTTCATTTAATTTGCGACCACCACTTTCTTAAAAAAAAAAAGAAAAAGAAAAATCAATATCCCTGTTCCAAGCATATTTTAAAATTTCCCCATTCCAAGCATACTTTAAAAATCTTTATTTACAACTTCTACATGTATGCAAATAAAGTCACAAAGAGAGATAAAATATTCAGCACAGCATTAGGGGACAGAACACTTTATGCTCCATTTAAATATTCTATGTACTTCATACAAGAAGGGAAAAAAAACAGAAAACAAAATCAGACAAATTCAATACCGAAGAGCTCTGGACAAATAAATTCCCAGTGCATTAAATCAGCATGGAAGGGAAAGTACATGACTTAATATTAAACCTGATTAGTAATATAAAGTTTTGGACTTAAGAAGGTAACATAGCTCAGGTGCCCAACTGGCTTTATAATACCCCAAAACCAAGCTGCTAAACCTTGCTGACGCTACCTGTAGTGTTTCTTGCACCATCTTTCCATGTATCAGGAGTGATCACTGTTCCAAGCTTCTTCTCGCCTACATGAGGAAACATTACAAAGGAAAAAAACTCAGAATCACAGAGTCAATTAGGCTGGAAAAGCTCTCTGAATTCATCGAGTCCAGCCTGTGACTGATCACCACCACGTAACTAGACCTTGGCACTGAGTGCCATGTCCAGTCTTTCCTTAAGCACCTTCAGGGACAGTGAGTCCACCACCTTCCTGGGTAGCTCATTCCAATGTCTAATCTCCATGATTAGGAAGAAATTCTTCCAAATGTCCACCCTAAACGTCCCCTGGCCCAGTTTAAGATGATGTCATCTTGTCCTGCAGATTGCTGCCTGGCAGAAGAGGCCAATCAATCCCATGGCTACAGCCTCCTTTCAGGGAGCTGAAGAAGGTGATAAGGCCATCCCTGAGCCTCCTCCTCTCCAGACTAAACAACCCCAACACCCTGGGCAGCTTCTCATCAGACCTTGCGCTCCAGACCCTCCACCAGCACTGCTGCCCTTCTACGAACCGCTCCGCCACCTCAGTGTTTTTTTTGTAGCGAGGGGCCCAGAACTGAACACGGCACTCGAGATGCGGCCTCACCAGCAGAACAGCAGGGAAATCCCTTCCCCGGTCCTGCTGCTCACGCTATTGCTGATACAGGACAGAATCATTTAAACTATGCACACTAACACGCTCCAAAGGCGGAGAACGACAGCTCACGCAAGGGAGAACGACAGCTCACACAGGGCCCTGCCGGGAACCGCCAGCCGCGGCCCACCCTGAGCAACCCGGAACCCGCGGCTGCTGCTCCGCTCAGGGCAGCCCTGGATCCCCGCGGGCAGGGCAGGGCCCGGCGGGTCGGGGAGGGCGCCCCGCAGCCCCGTACTCACACTTGTCGCACACCATGGCGGCCCCTCCACAGCCGCCGCCGCTTCCGGCACCGCCCCGGAAGTGCCGCCGGCCGGGCCCCGCCGCCTTCCGCTGCCGGGCGGCGCCGCGCGCTCCGCGGTAAGGGGCGCGAGCGGCGCGCGCGGGGTTTGGTTTTTTTGAACAAACGCTGGTTCCTGCCCCAAAATCCTCCCCTTCGCCCCGCCTGGGCCCAGAGCTCTGCGCTGCGCCTCGCGGCCGGGGAAGATGCCGCCCTGCGGCGCTGCTGCGGCGTGTGGGTGACGGGGCGGGACTCGGTGTGTTGCAGGTGCCGCCGCCCGGACGCCATGAGGGAGGCGGAGATCAGGAGGCTCCTGGCCGCCAACCTGCTCTGCGCCCTGGCCATCGTCCTGGCCGCCGTGGCACCGGCTTTCTTCCTGGACGGGTTCAGCGTCCTGGGAACGCACCTCACGTGGCTGTGTGTTTGTTCTGTTTGTGTTGCTACCCTTAATATAATCTTGCACTTAGTCCTTAAACCAAATCAGTCTCCTAAGAGACGTTCCTTTGCTCACAAGGTAAGATTTTATTTTTTTTTAAATTCTTAAGTGGTTACCAGTCAATACAGAGGGGAAGCAAATTCTCTGAAATAATCCAGTGAGAAAGAAGACAATTTTTGATGGTGAACTCTCCATTAGTGAGTTGAGTGTAGCACCTGTTGAAACAGATTTTTCAGTATTTTCATTATGTTAAACTTTCTCTACCTGTAAATAACCTGTGCAGGTGAGTGATTCCATGCTTTCCTGTTTCTTGTCAGTGCAATGTTGTTTGTAGTCCCAAGAAATCAAAATTAATGCAAAATTAAATGGCACAGAACTCCTTTTGTAGTCCAGGCCTGGCTTATTTTTTTGTTAAGTGGATGTAGCAGGAAAAAAAGTCACCACACATTTCTCGTGTGTAGTTGTAAGTTTATAATAACTTTAAAAAGAAAAAAATTTTTTTTGGAATCTGACACATAAAAGAGATGCTATGCTACATTTCAACAACTAAAAAACATCATATGCAAAAGTATTAAAATGTCTGCATTTCCTTGTATGATGAAATTGGTATACAGAGGAATCTAAAGTTGGGAGAAACTTTTTGTAGTTCCAGTTTGTAACATGGAGCATTAAGGATATGAATCCTAATGAAATATTTTGGAGCAGCACACGACTTGCCCAGCAGTGGGGGAATACCCCAGAGTTTTGAAGTCGGGGATAGTCTTGTGCTCCTGACTTGTTGGGCCAGACAAGATGTAGTGCTCTGAGGTGGTTCTTAAACGTTGAAGTAATCATCCCTGCCAGCATATCTTTGTGTGCAAAGCCTCTGTCTAGCTTTGCTGACTGACGAGGGTGTGAAATGCACAAAACCATGATGGAAAGCAAGTATTTTAACCATCTGTGATTTAAAAATGAAGCACACTTCATGTTCTAGGTGAGATTTCATCCCAGGAAATAAATATAGAAAGGAATAAATATAGAAAAATAAGGGTTCAAGGCAAGTTACGGATTTTGCATTGGTGACCTGATCAGAACAGACCTTACCAGAACTGTTTATCAAGTGTTTTTGCTTCTGCATGATATAGTGAGTACCCAGAAACTGTTGTTTAAGTTCATAGAAAATTGTGTGTTTTGCGGACTTAGAGAAAGTTATGGATATTTCTCAAATATATTCAGAATTTAAGATGCCAAGTTCAAAATGTAGTTTTAGTTAATTTAATTTTGATTCTTTATGTCGCAGACTTTTTTATATTGTATATTTTCTTGCTTTTATTTTTTTTTTTCACTTTTTGTGAGAGTTGCCTTTTAATTAATGGATATGACAGTCAGATGTAAAACAGAAGTGTAAAAATGTCCAATAAGTGTAAAAAACAGAAGTGTAAAAATGTCCAAGATAACTTCTGGTTATCTTGTAATTTCTGGTTATATTTTTTGTATGTTTGCCCTGTTTAGTGAGATGCACAAAAAAAATTGTAGGTGGAGTGTGATGTTTTTTAATTAATTATTTAAAGTATTAATATATGGAAAACTGTTTTGAAATATGCCATGCTATTATATTGTGCTTCAGCTGAAATTAAAGAAGTATTCAGAGTACAATACTCTTGATAAGATATAGACTCTGTGTGTTACTTATGTTCTGATTTGAAGCATTGTTCTGATATTTCATTGCTCTTTTTTAGATATCCAGATTTCTAAAATGCTGTATATACTTTTTCATGTCTTGCATACTATTTCATGCGATTATTGTTCTTTATGGAGCACCTCTCATAGAGTAAGTCAGAAGACTCTCTCTTTCTCTAAATGTTCTAAGGGGCAGCTGTCCTTGCAGATGTTGGTATAAGTACTTGTGTGTTTTCTGGTACACTGGAAGTTAAGGGATAAGCTCCTAGCTGGGGGAAGAAGGGTGGCTGTTTCAGCTTTCTCTTGGTTTTGGGTTGGTTTTTGTTTTGTTTGTTTGTTTGCTTGTCCAGTTGTGTTCTTTTGGAAGCCAGCTCTTAAATGAGACTTCTGTAAAGAAAATTGTAACGCAGTTACAAACAACTCTGTTACTTTAATTTTTATGTTGAGCATATGGGCACAAACATTTTTTGGAGCTTCATTTAGTCATTTTCTCTATAAGATTCTAAACCACACATCTTGCCTATCTTTCATCCTTTTGATATTAGTGTTTTAACTTCCCTAAAAGTTTAAAGAAAGAAGTGTGAAGCAACCTGGGTTTTGAGAGATACACTAAGTTGCTGACTAACAATAGTTTCATGCAGTTTGGTTTCATGGTTGCTGTCACAACGGGAAAAATAAATGGAATAATGAAGTAAGTATCCAAGCATACTTCAATTTAGAACTAATGATCTATGTGAAGTACACCTTTTGTGAATACACAAAAATGTTACAGGTCTCAGGCATTTCAAAACATTACTACATCTCACTCTTGAGATAACAGCAGAAATCTTTTCAGCTTCCTTTACTATACTACAGAGTAAGAATAAAATATTTTATTCTTTTATATGAGGTTTAAGAAAGCACACATGCTTTCACAAGTTGAGTTATAGGGGCTTTTTTCTTCCTAAATCTTGGAACTTTTTGAACATTAGCAACCACCTCACTTAATTTTGTAATATTCTTTTTCTTTTTGTAGGTTAGTGACTGAGACATTTTTGTTTGCAGTTCTTCTGTCTACATTTACTACTTTACAATGCTTGTGTTTGCTGGGACCAAACGTACAGGCATGGATACGGGTATTTAGTAAAAACGGGTAAGTCCTAATCTAAAGTTTCTGATACTTCTCTGAATAGAAATGGACAGAATTGGTGTAAAAAATATATAATGGAATTTTTGTAAAGAAAAGGAAACTTCCTGAATGGTGGGTGGTTTTTGTATTTGTGATTACAGACATATGAAAGCTTTTCTGACAAAGAAAGACTTATTTGAAGACACTGATTCAGAAAAATGGCTTTTTATTTTTGGTGTTCACATGCTAAATCTCACTTTATATGTGTTTGAAGGAAGTAAAGTTTCCAGCACATATTCTACTGAAGTAAAGACATTGTGCAGTTCTATATGATGGTTGTCAAATAAAGGGGAGACCTGACACTGAGCTGTGCATGGAGAATCTTGCACATGATCCAGTAGTACCTTCTTAAATACAACTTTTAAAGTTGAGGAATAGGAACTCAAAACAAGCACTGTTTTAAACTTGAATATAATGTTGAAAATTAAACGTGACTTACTGTGTTCTTAATTATGTAGCATTAAACCATACTCTTTTTTTCAATTTTAAAGAAAGCTGTTTTGAGTGTCAGAGTTTTCAAGCATTAATTTTTTCAGGAGTATGTTTAAAGTAGAACAAGCATTCTAACTGCATTTTCACCTCCAGTGGCAGCCATGGCATTAGCATGTATCAAGGATAATGTATTTTTCAGATGATTTCCATTTCTTCTGCCTTTTTTCATTCCATAAATAATGGCATGTTGAAAGACTGGGACACTGAAACATAAAGAGGCTTCACATATGCTTGAGATTCAATGGGGTTTTAGTGTTCATTCCCTTTTAGTAGTTCATGGTGGTGAAGTCTCATCTCAGAAGAGAGTGAAAGGTTGTATTACACTGCTGACCTATGGAATTATTTTTGGTTTGCACTCCTTTAGAGGAGAAGACTTTAATAATACTTTCAGGTAAATTTTGGTTATCTCAGTTCTCAACTTACTGAAAAATATCTTGAATCCTTACTCAAGTCATATACACTTGGGTTTTTTTCAGTAGAAGTGTAAATATACTGTAATAAAAGCAAGGAGTTGTTTAGACAAAATTGCTGATTCACTTGGTTATCTTTGGGGGTTTTGCATCTGGAAATAACAGCTGAATTGAAGTAACAGATGTATGACAATATCAGTTTGCCTTTGTGCCAGGTAGATTTTGAATGCCTGTTGATTTCTTGCTTTCCTAGTCTGGATCTTAATATAATTTCAGTACAATCATTTCATAGGAAACAGTTGTCTTGTTTTGACACTTTTGCTGTGAGGACTTGTTAGTACTTCTTACTAGTGAGCCATGTGACGTTATGTGAGAAAAATGTTCATTATTAATGATGTTTGTTTACACTTTGAGTGAATATAGACTACAAAGAAATACTGTAGCAGGTTTCTTTATGGATAGTAGCAAGCTGCTCATTTAAAAATAATCCTGTGTTTTTTCATTTGACGTCATGAAATTGGAACGTCTTAGGTCTGGGCACGAGATGAGTGTAGACATGATACATTAAAAGGTTGTCTCTAACTTAACCATGTGGAATGAGGTGGGACTGGTTAAATGGAAGAAAAGGATGGCTAGGTAAAATCAACAGGGCTGCTTTTCTTGAAAGCAGAGTTTACAGAATTGAATTGCACTGGAACAGTTAGCTTGAAAGTCTGATTAAGTGTATAGCTTAGTTTTTAAAAAAAAACCCTGTTTTTAAGTACCAGAGTGCAATTTAGACTTAAGTAACCTTAAGCCTACGTGCACATAGAATGTGTGAGAAAAGTAAGTCTGTGTAGTCTACATCACAAACCCTTCCATTCTTAGTTAGCTATAAATAGGGCCCTTTTCACTAATTCTGCATTTGGAAAGGGGTGGGCCCA